GGGGTAGGGGGGAGGAACGGGGTTTGTTTGGGGAGAACCCGCCGCTGGACCAGCCGGGAAACGCCGCACGTGGCCTCTCGGAGGCCCTGCCTTGACTCCCCAGCACTTGTGTGATGTGCAGGTTTATTTATTTTCCTCTGTCTGTCTGTCTGTCTGTCTGCTGTTCCGTCTTCTAACAGGTTTGCCTTCGTTTCCTTTTACTTGTCAGAACCTCCAACAGGCGGGCCATCTAATAACGACCGCCCGCCCCGCATTTCTATTTTTATTTTTATTTTTGTATTTCTTTGCTAAGGCGGGGTTTGCTAGATACTGTGTTTTAGGTCCCAAGCTCAGATCTCGGCGGACGGGAGCCCTGCCAGCTGTGGTGGCGGTGGAAGAGCGCGGGGCGCAGTGAAGGCCGCACAGCTGTCAGCTGCCCTTGACTTTGGGCCTTCACTCCCGTTTGTCTGAAGGGGAGGTACCGCCGACTCCTACACTTTGAGATAATGTGGAAAACACGCCTGGAGGTGACACGGACCCTCAGCCAGCACGCCTCCCCAGAGGCCGGCGCCTTCTCCCCCCTCCTGCCAAATGGCGTGACCTCCTGGATCCACGCTTTGCTCTGAGCAGCTTTTTTTTTCTTTTTTTAAAATATTTTATTGATTTTTTTACAGAGAGGAAGGGAGAGGGATAGAGAGAGGGATAGAGAGCCAGAAACATCGATGAGAGAGAAACATCCATCAGCCGCCTCCCATTGGAACCTCGCCCACCGGGATGTGCCCCCAACCAAGGTACATGCCCTTGATTGGAATCGAACCCGGGAACCTTCAGTCCGCAGCCCGACGCTCTATCCACTGAGCCACACTGATCAGGGCATCTCTGAGCAGCTTTCTTCTCCCCTGGGTTGCGTTAGGGCTTCTGTGGAGGTGCGTGGAAGCCGCGGAAGGTGGGCTTTCACATTGGATTAGGAAGTGCATCCTGACTCCCTGGTGGTCACTGTTCCCTTGTGGAACTGCTGTTTCCCCCGCACACGGCTGTGTCCTAAGGAATGATGTGAGTTTTGAACGTTGATGGTTCGCAGGATGGTGAAGCTTTTCTCTCTACTTCTAGGAAAAATGTGGAAGACTTCACTGGACCTAGAGAAAGAAGCGACCTGGGGTTCATTAACTTCGACATAACGGCAGATATCCTTTGGGACAGGGTTTCGTTGCCTTGTCTGTGGTGCTGTGATGGTACACATGTTCAGTGATTTGGGGGACAGGGTGACTACCAACCAAGCCTTGGAAATACGTATAAATAACTGTAATGGCAGATGCTAACATGACTCACCAACATTCTTTTTGACCCCGATCTTCCAACCCATAACAGATGCCAGCCTCTGTTTTAATCAGGAAAATCGTGTTAATTCCTCCGCGTTCACACCTGGAGAAATTGTATTTGTAGGTTCAGGGGTTACTGTGTGAAGATACTCTAAATTCTTCGCAGGAACATTCAGTAAATGGAGAGCTTTAAGAGACTGTGAATCTGTATTTCGAAAGGAGAATGAGATCATTTGGATTAAAGAAGGAAGAATGTTGCCAGTGCTCATCCTGGCAACATTGAGTATTTCCTGTGCAATCCCAAAGTATATCTTCGTATTTTATGATAGAAACATAGGTTAAACGTCTGTTATGGGTTGGAAGATCATGGTCAAAATGAGTGTTAGTGAGTCATATTAGCATTTTGCCATTACAGTTTTTTTAATAAATATTTTCAGGACAAAAGTCAGAAATCATAACAGTAGAAAGAGTTACTTTAAAATGGGGTGATTTAAATATTTTCATCTTGAGTTCCCCCCTTTTGACAACTCTTGGCCAGCTGATCTTCTGTTAGCGTCTTGCATGAATGTTTGGGCGTTGTTCTCTGCCATGGCCGATCTCGCTGCCTCTTTAAAACTCGGGGTTAAAGCTGGGTGTGGAGTGTGACCGGTCAGAGCTGCAGAGCGGCTGTTTGGACAGTTGAAGCAGCTGCAGATCGTGGGCCTCCAAGGGTCACCTGATGTGTCTCTGCTCCCATGGCGTGTGTGTTTTTTCTTTCCTTTTAAATTTTTTTTTTTTTTAACCGAGTTTAAAAAGAGAGGAAGGGAGAGGGAGAGAGAGAGAAATACTGATGTGAGAGAGCAACGGGATGAGACCCACAATCTGGTATGTGCTCTGACTGGGAATTGAACTGGTGACCATTTGGTGAATGGGATGATGCCCAACCAACTGAGCTACTCCAGCCAGGGCCCCATGGCGTTAGTTTTAACTTGGTTTTTAGAAATAAATTACTGGGTTTGGAAGTAGACTAGAAATTAGTTATATATACATAGGCCCTTTTGAGGAACTGGAGTACACCGTGAGAAGAGGCCAGTGTATGCTAAACTGCCTGCTTTTAAGTGTTCACATCATTTAAAAACATCTCTGGTAAGAGGCAGTTTGGATCGAGTGTGGAAGGAGTAACTGTGTCTGGACCAGGGATTTTCAGCCTTCTCATCTCATGGCACACAAACTAATTAAAATTCTCCAGCACACCAAAAAGTATATTTTTTGCTGATCTGACAAAAAAATAGGCATAATTTTCATTGCTTTACCAAAATATAAATAATAGTAATCACCTACCCCTTTTTGCTCCAAAATTACTTAAAAAAATTAGGTGCCTATGCTTACATATAAGGATTTCTAGTACCAAGAATTAACCAATCAAACGCATCCTTATTATGCAACATGACCAATAAGATGCAATTTTTCTGTGACCCATGTGTTTGTGGTTCAGGACGGTATTCATCCCAGACAGTCGAAGGGAAAAGAGGTCAGTGCCCTGACCATGATCGCACTCACATGAGGAATAGCAGCAGAGGCCTGGGCACATGGAACAAACAGAGGTGTCAGAGGGGAGGGGAGGGGAGCTGAACGAAAGAAGGTGAAGAGATTAAGTCAAAACAAAACACAAATACACATGTATCGAGTAGACAAGGACTACATACAGTGTGGAGATAGCCAGAGGGAAAGGGTCGCTATCCTAGACTTCCCTGTTCTGACATCGTGACTCTAAACCAGTGAGTACATGAATGTGCTGCTCTCGGTGTGTAAACATATAATATGTCACATAACCATTTAATCAAATCCAAGCATGAACACACCCCATTTCTCAGTCTTGTAATTAACCCTGGTGATGTTTTTTCACTCTAGTAAACTGAGGAAACCAAATTGGTGACCATTGCATATTCTACCAAAGCATTTCATGGATTGAGATGCTTTGATCCCTACTGATGTGTCCAAAAAGCCATGTTTACAATTTATTACACTTGATTTAGTTACTTGAGTGTAGTTGATGTTTGCATGTCAGTACATCTAAATTATGATGATTGGTTATACTTTAGAAATGTAGTGGAATCGTGTGCTTGAAAAATGAAATCTTTTCTCTTTTATATATTTTCATTGAATTAGTGGCTCAGTATGTTTCTGGGCCACTTCTTTTTCTCTATTTTGGTGTTAGTATTGCTGTGAATACTTAAGCATAACTAAGATCTGTGTTTATGATTTATTCCTTAATTTGTTTACATCTAGAGAATATATTTGATTGGAATGTTAAGCAGTTGTTTCTTTATTTATCAGCAGAGTATTCAACAAAAAATAACGTAAGTATATAAGTATTTTGGTAGATATGTAACATCTTATTCTTTATGGAAATATAAATTTTGTATATCAAAGTACTTGACCTGAGTAGTTTGGTAGAAATCACCAGCCCATGGCAGCCTGTAGCTCTGAGGCGCCGTGGGCTCTGGGAGCATCGAGGGCCTCCCTGGGGGCCTGAGGAGAGCGAGCTGCTCGTTCTCCTGTGGATCTGAGCAGAGTTGCAGTTTCAGTGTGCTCACCTTCTTACTGATATCAGGTTGGTGTGGCAACTTCTCAGCTCCCCTACATGCCATTCGGGAAACCGCAAATCTGTATGTTTCTCAATTTAAACTGAAAAGGGAAAGAAGTTAAACTTTACTCGGACTCTACATGGACTGACAGTAATACTCAGCCTCCAAATCGGGGGTTGGCTCCATGCTTCCTAAAACGTGTGTGCCCTCATACTCTGGAGGTGGCGAGGAATTCTGGAGGGCAAGATGTTGACTGGCTCTCTGTGTGCATTCATTCATTCATTGGCATTCGGCTTTGTGCAAAGTTAAGTGGGTGGTATTGTCCAGGTTTAAAGAAATGAATCCTCACATGATGGAGAAATGGCTTGAAAAGATCCCTGCAGAGCTACCAGAGGTGAAGAGAACGCCAGTGGTCCACGCACATGTCACAGGAGCTCGGCACAGCTCACATGCCCGGTCCTCGTGAACTGCTCAGCCACTTTCATTAAAGGATGAAAACGCCTAGATCTAGTGAAAGCTGGCTGAGGAAACAGCCTCGTCAGGAAGCCTGTGGGAAGTGCACACTTCCTACCGATGGTGCTGCTACTGAAGGGTAACAGCAAAGTGTATTAGGAGCGGAATTTGTAAAGAAAGGTGCATATTTAGGGGTTTCTATTCAAAATAATTTGTGATCGAAAACCTTTGGAGGCCACTGAACTGTGAGCATATTAGGAAATGGAGAGGTGGCATTGTGGGATTTTTTTAAGATATGTTTTTATTGATTTTTAGAGAGAGGAATGGGGCGAGAGAGAAACATTGATGTAAGTTAGAAACATTGATTGGCTGCCTCCGGCATGCCCCGTCCTGGGAAGGGAATGGTGGTGACCTTTTGGTGCACAGGATGATTCCCAGCCCACTGAGCCACACTGGCCAGGGCCAATTGTAGGATTCTTTGAGCTGAAATATTCCCTCTGGACAGGTATAATTAGAAAGATACACACCAAGACATTTGAGTCAATGAGATTTGTGATCTGTGCTTATAACTCTGGTTACCCAGACATGTAATAAAGAACTGTAAAGATTACTATATTTGAAGCATTTCTGAGGTTATTTTATAACCCATCTAGATGTTTATATGTATAAATACATGGTTTGAGCTGTTTTGATAGTTTATGAAGCCATACCTATGCAATTAGTAAATACAGTGGGGCCTTGACTTACGAGTTTAATTCGTTCCGTAACCCAAATTACTCGTATGTCAAATCATAAAGTGAACGAGTGAGACACGTGATGCTGGGCTGATGTGGCGTTCACTGTGACGTTCGCTGAGCCAACTAGCGGTGGGGTATCTGAAGCTGGCTTGTAACCCAAATTTTAGCTCACAACTCAAAGCAAAAAATCGGCCGAGAGACGGCTCGTATCTCGAAAAACTCGTTAGTCGGGACACTCGTAAGTCAAGGCCCCACTGTACCTGTCTTGAGAATTTTTCTTTGTTTTGGAGTTGTATGGGATCCAATTTGAGTACTTAAGGTAGTCTTTCTAATCACATATTACAGTTTATCAGATTTGTCATTAGAAGTTATTAAACTATTACATTAAAATATATTAAAACAGTTTGTGATAGAAATTTTTTAGTTCAGTCTGATTTGAAGCTTTTGTTGTAGCTAGAGTAAGGGTTGAGATATTAATAATGAATGTTGCTAAAACGGATCTTAGGTTCTAAATTATAGAGTAAATGATTCTGATAAGTGAAATAAAGCACAAATGTGAAATCTGTAGAATAAAATGAACTGTGTTGCTCTTACCTAAGTACCCTTACGTTTGCTATCAGCATAGACTGGAGGTAATTTGTAGTTAGAAAGGAGTCTGCTTCTGGATTCATTTGAGGTGGATTCATTTTCAAGAGATGTCAAATTAACCAGCTTTTCTGTTGATGAGTTTTTTAGTTCAGTGTCATTTTTAGCACTTCACTCAATTGATTGTGCAGCACATTATTTTGAGCATATCCTTATACCAGATGTTTTGTTAGGCCTGGGAGTATTGGGTTGACTAAGGTGCTCCCTGTTTTTGGGAGTCAACAAAGTGTTAAAACAGGAAAGGCTGTTGAGGATGAGAGCAGCCACTGGACACATGCTATTCAAGGCTCAGCAAATCATCCAAATCAATAGGTCTTTTCTTGGTGACAGAGGTACCTATGTTATACTCCTAGTCTCGTTTTCCCAGCATGACTAGTGAGTGAATCCAGCGTGGAATGTGACAGGTTATTGCTTCATGAATGAATGAATACGCAGGGAAAGGCTTCTCTGGCCTGTGCTTGGCTCTGTGTCCCTCCACCGTGACCTTCCTGGTGAGTCTCAGGAAGAGACCTGAGGGTGACCATCTGAACCCTCTCTTAGGAATAACTAGTCCACATTCTGGTCATCACGTGCTCAGCCATGGGCCTCACAAGCTGGTGAGGGGTGGTTTAGTGAGAACACAGTTCTCGGGCTTTGGTAGTGATCACAAATGTGTTTTCACTCGATTTCATGCCCCTGGTTTGTTTATGATGTGTCAGAATAGTGGCTTGAAAGGTTGTCTCACTTCTAGAATTTTGCCGCAATAAAGCAATGATGTGCCAGTGTTCTACTTTAAAGAAAAAATACTCAAGGCTTTATTTCTTTAGTGATACTTGGCAATTGAAAGCCCTTGGCACCACACAGATGGGCGGGAGGTGGCCTGGCAGCAGCAGTACAGCCTGTGCAGGGTCCATGCTGGGCTGGAGGGTTGATGATTTTAGCAACCCCCTCAGAATTGGGTCCATTGATCAGAAACCAATTGCTCACCACTGCTTTTAATTTGAATTGACAAAGATGCTGTTTCTGCCGAGTTCATGTAATTATTTTCATTTTCTTGTAGGCTCTGAACCAGGTTGTCCTTTGGGACAAGATTGTTCTGAGAGGTGATAATCCGAAGCTGCTGTTGAAAGATATGAAAACAAAATATTTTTTCTTTGACGATGGAAATGGTCTCAAGTGAGCAATTCTTTGTCATTTTTTTTTTACATTTATGAAATGTGAAGGGGAGAGAAAGATGTATTTGCATTTTTAAAGAAAAATATTAGAGGGTAAAAGAGGAAGATTGGGAGAGAAGTGAAGTATTTATATGGATCTGACCTGGAAGATGGCGTGGAAACACTGTGCAAAACTGATCTACTAGTAAAATCTGGGCTCAGTGTGTGGACTGTCAGCCCAGGTCCGAGGCTTCTGCTCCCGGTGCACAGGCCCAGCACCCAGGTCTGAGGCTTCTGCTCCAGTGACCCTGCCCTGTGGGCGTGGGACTGCCCAGCACAGGCTCTGAGGACGGAAGGGGAAGTTGCCAGGGGAGCTTGATGAGAAAGTAACACATGGCCCAGCTGTTAGTGAGGTTTCTGGTGTTGGTTCTCTACTTCTCTGAACCTCAGCTTCCTTCCTACACAGGAGCTGGATAGTGACCTGGGTCGTGTCCGCCTCCTCCACTGCGGCAGGTGTGCTCGCCGTGGCCGTCTAGATAGCCGTGGGGTTGGGGCTCGCGCGTTGTCCTCTGATGCCCCCCAGTCTGGTTCCTATTCTCTGTCGTCCTCATTTCAGCCTTGGCTGCTGGCTCTAGGAACCCAGTGAGCTCAGGGCATTGTGGGTGCCTCTGGACAGCTGGTGTCCCAGTGCCCCTGGGGTTAAAGGCTTGAAGACTTTTGTTTGTGGGTTAGGGTTCCACGTAGGAGGGGCTGGTTATAAGCAAATCTTTGGACGCCTCGGTGCTTCAATGACGGGTTCTCATTGGACTAGAAGTGTCTCTGCTGACTTCTGATTGCTGTGTCTTTGTAGGGGCAACAGGAATGTCACTCTGACCCTGTCCTGGAACGTCGTACCAAACGCTGGAATCCTACCTCTCGTGACAGGCTCAGGACACGTGTCTGTTCCATTTCCAGATACATATGAAATCATGAAGAGTTATTAAATTATTCTGAATCTGAACAGCATATTTTTATACTTACTGGATCCTCTCTCATTTATGTCCTCCCCTGCATCTTCATCTGTTTTTGTTTGTTAACTTAATTTTTTTTTTGTATAAGAACTAACATCAAAAGGTGTATTTGAAGGGAAAGGTTAAAGTGCTACTTAAACTTAACTTTACAATCAAAACAAAGAAAGGCCACTGGAGTGGGTATTAGAGGAATAAGAAAGCGCACAGTAGGATTTGCAAGGTTATCTTTGACGTGTTCCCGGTATTGCCATTCCTCTTAATGGACGGTAAGGTGAGCAGGGAGGTCTCTGACATTTTCAGGGGCCTGTGGAACTCTGTTCTAGGCCTCTGGTCAGTGTGCATTCACCCTGGCAGTGGTGCAGAAGTAGACATTTTATCTCTCTCAGGGGATGTCTGAGACTGGAAACATTCACACAGGCATTTGTGAGAAGCCTGGTTTCCATACAAAATAGCCCAAGTGATGAGATTTTGTTCCCTGTGTCTTAGGAAGGGCCACAATGCGTTTTTCTTACAGCTGACTTGCACCTTTCTCCACTTAAAGACTAAACAGCTCCATCTATGCTGTAAATCATCCTAACTCATTCTGAAGAGTCTCTTCTCAACCCAATGTGTGTCTTTCAGTGCTTTCTCTGGAACGTTCCCACGTGTCCTGTGCGTGGTTTTAGCATTGCCGTTGAAGGTGGACATGTTTGCATGGTCCCTCCGGGTGAAGTTTCTCTAGTGAGCATGCCTAGTGCCACTGAGGGCTGATTATTTAAAACGTTCTGCAGGTCCCCATTTTACTAGCCATGGGGTGATACCTGGTGTGCTTTCCCGTGCATGAGCACTCGCACATGTTACTGTAAGTTATCCTCCACGAGCTGATGAGGTCAGCAGTGCAGTGTCAGCTCTTGGCAGACGGAGAAACAAGCCCAGAGGCTGACTGACTGGAGCTGTTACATAGCTCACAAGGACGGGAGTTAGACCTGGAACTCGGATCTGGTTCTCTCAGCTTAGCTCTCCTCTTAAGGCTAAGTAAAGGTCACATGTAACTTCATTACATGTTTTGTCGCCCTGGACACCCTGTGTACCACTCCTCGAAGGGCTTTCCATCCCATGTGGAAGTAATTTTACTTATGTTAAAACTGTAAGAATCCAAATGTATAAAAACGACTTAGAGATTAAACTCATGGTAATACATGATTGACTGGTCCTATTTAGCATGATTTCCCTGGAGTAGGCAGATGCCCGTCCTCACGGGGCAGCCACCCGCCAGTTACCCTTACAGCCAGCCCCACGCTGTCGCCACGCTCCCAGCTGTGGCCACAGGGCTGGCGTTTCCCAAGCAGGGTGCCCGGTCCTGGCTAACATCCGTCGTCGCGTCTCATGGAAGCCCACTCCATTCACTGACACGCGTCTTAGTGGCTCGGTGAGAGTTGTGTTCCTGGCGAGGTCAGAGGTGTCGTGAGCACTAGACTGGGTTCTGCCCCCAGCTCTTCCATTGGCCTTCGCAGGGTCTCGGTTCCTTCTCTGCAGAGTGACAGTTGGAGGACGAGTTCCCTTCGCTAGTGGTTCTTCCACAGCTCACACACGTCTGTGAAATCCCTTGTCTGCTCAGCAGAGAAGGTTAAACACAAATCACGTCAGTCATGTGGAGCCAGGCAGACGATAGACCAATGTGTAAGTCACGTGGGTCTGACTTGGTTAGGTTTACATCCTGAAAACGCTGCGTGTGGTTAGGGCACGTCAACATGGAAACTAGGCGTCCACGCAGGAGGCCTGGGTGTGTCCTTGCTAAGGTGGCCTGGAGTCCAGTGGTGTGTGGGCGCCCAACTAGCATGATGAATACATCGTTTTTTGCGCTTAACTAAAGGGAACTGCTCAGGACAAGGGGAAATGCTCCTAGTTGGCATAAGAAACCTCGATCCCAGGAACTCCTTTCTGGGTGTGTACAGCTTTGTTAGTTTTCCATGATTCTACATTAAAAAAATGAGACTTTGTTCACTTTTAGTGAAGTCTTACCAAGTCTCCACAAAGACCCAAGTCTTCAAACTTACAGAAACCGCCGTCTGATTAGAAATGTGTGAGCCCATTAGTGATGCTGGCAAAAAGAGGAATTGTGAAACGCTTAAGCCATTCTGGTTGGAAACAGGTTAATTTTAACATTGAGTATTTGCATACCCTTGTCCTTCAGCCGAGCTGCCTAATCAGGTAGCTACAGCAGTGCTTTGTACCCCCCAATTGCTTACATTTGCTTTCTACATACGTAAGGAGAACAAACCTCAGAAATTCCTTAGGGTGTAACACAAAAGTGGGTCATTTTGAAGTTTGTTTCTTGGAATGAGTTTACAGTTGCCTGGTGGGTCTGGCTAGGAGATGGGCTCTAAGAGTGTAATGAACTGTTTTTCACTGTCCTACAACTTAGCAGTCTGATGCTTTGGGCCTTTGGGGTGCGGGTTAATGGAGGTATTATTTTATAACACTTTGGGCGTGGAGGGTTTATGGGGGAACCACAGGCTGTGGACCTGGGTGGCACTCGACCATCTACCCATTCCAGAAGCGTCCCCTGCCTGTAGCAGAGCCTGTGGCAGCCCGTGGTTGAGAGGAAGTCTCGCGTGTTCTGGTGCCGTTCGGGAAATTGTTTACTTCACAGGTACAGATGGATTAAAACATCCTGAAAACAAGATCTGTTTGAGGATTTTCTTAATTGCAATAAATAGCGTTTTTCTAATGAAAATGAATGTTATGACTAAGTGTGCACTTGGAGAGGTTTTCAGCTGTGTGCTTTCTATGTGAAGCTGCTGACTAAAAGGGATGCAATCCAGCCCAGTGAGCTGAAGTTCTTTCTTTTGTTTGTGGTGGTGTGTGGGCCGGGGAGGGGGAGGATGAGTGGGTGTGCGTGGATGGGTGGTGGCGGGAGGTTAGTTACATCTAAGCTCTGCGGAGCCTGCGCCGGTGCTGGACCACACTCTTGGAGGGCTTACCTTTGCGTCTTGCCCAGCGCCTGGCAGAGTGCCTCGCACACCTAATAGGCGCCCAGTGAAAATGGGTGGAGAATGGCGCCCTTGTCTTTCTGATGGGACCAAACCATGGGACGGTCACTGGTGCTTTGTGAATGCTGCTTTTCATCCCCGGGCTCCGGCCGTTAGCTTGGCCCCTCTCCCTCCAGCCCTGGTTGGGACCAGTCCCGGCAGGTGCTGCCCCGGCTCCCTCCACCCTTGGCCGGGGAGTCCGGGGGCGTGGGTGGCTGGGGAAGAAGGTGGACCTGTCAGTAGCTTTACTTCAAGGAAACAGGAAAGCCCCGCACAGACCCACCCACGGGCTCTCGGGATGGCTACCAGCTCCAGTGCACGGCCTGCTCCTGGAGGGAGGCCGGGAGCCGCGCCCCGCCAGCCTCGGGCACAGCGGCCTCGGGCAGCTGACTGCGGCGCACCTGGCTCCTTGGCCAGCACCTGGCTCCTTGGCCAGCACGGGACGTGCGGAAACTACTTTCCCTCCGTCTCGGGGAGGAGTTTCTCAGAAGAGGGAGAAGAACATCTGCCAGTGAGCCCAGACAGAACAATGGGAAGACTCCCTCAGATAGAAAACCAGTCGAGTTGGAGGGCGGGTGTTTCCTTTTTACCTCAGTGCGTTTTATCTGGAAGAGGGTAAAGGTCAGCTAGATCCAGTTTTTGTTTCTCCTCCAGACCTGGGCAGCCCTCTGTCAGACCTGCCCTGGACGTTGCCTCTTGTACTCCCTTTGTGGCAGGATAGGAAGAAGCTGGGAAAGACCCTGGGCAAGTGGAATGGAGAAACCGAGGCAGAAAATGAAACAAGGCCAAACCATTTGGACAGCTTGCAGCCAGCTTGTCCATCTTAAGACCTTATCTTCCCAACCAAGGACACTTGAGAGCAAATGATATTAATGCCTCCCCGCTAACCAGAGAATACACTCTGGGGAAACAGACCCAGTGAATGCCATCTGTGCCAGCTCCACCAAGGACAGAGCTCTTGGGGGATGTTAGGGCAGGACGGAGGGAGAGAAGGGACACATTTTCTCATCCACTAAACAAGGCAGCCGTCTTAGGACGTGCCAGACAAGACGACTGGATGTATCTGCAGACATCCCAAGGTAAGTCAGCAATGTAGAAGGGGACTCTGAAACCCAGTCTGCTACCCAAGCTATCTGACAAGGGAGCTTTGAAACCTACAGTGAGAAAGGTATGAGACCGCATAAACCCCCACCGGGTGCGCACGCAGACTAGCCGAGTTGCCTGCTTGTGTTCGATGCCAAATGTATTCTTAGTCGCTGGCTTTGCTTCAGCGCTGCTGTCACTTGTCTAAAGTCTTCCTGTGAGATTGAGAAGAGCCACGGAGGGGACAGCCCTCCCCGTGACTCCGGGGGCTGCCCAGTGACACTGTCCCTTTCTCTCCAGGGGGTACCTTACAGCTGGGATTCTGGGGCCAGTGGGCCTCCTGATGAGTGAGGTACCTGCAGGAAGAAAGGGCATCAGTTCAGTCGGCCGTGTGCCTTTGTCTCTCAAAGTCAACTTCCAGCTTGGAGTGGCTTCTCAGCTGGGCCCTCCCCCCTGGAGGATGACAAAGGGGCATTTCTT